TTCACACTGAGCTGATTTAAAAAAAGTACATTACCCTAAATAAAAAACCCGTCAGATATCCAATTTAAAGTGAAACATCTTGGCTCTGGATGGGATTTAAATTACAGCAAGCTGGCCAAAAACACTGGTTATTTGTAGCTGTTGTCTGCTCTTTTTTGTTTTATTGCCTTCCATGTTGTCTTATGCTCAGATGCAGATGCTTTGATACTCATTGAGTCCTACAGGGGGCGCTAGGAGCTTGTAAAGGGACATGGTAATGGGCCTCGGTCCAAACCACCAGAACACAAAATGACCAGCATGAATGAACCCAGTCTAAAGTTCTGTGTGAATATGTGGCCCATGTGTAAGTGTAAGTGCTTATTCAAGTGTGTGTGTGTGTGTGTATGTGTTGACATGTAGGATATGTGCCCAGCCAAACACACACCACACACAGAGTCCACCACAGTTGATAGCTCGTGCTTGGTGGAGAGGTATTAGTTACAGGATTGAGAAATTATTTGATTATAAAATAGCGCTGTGTGTTCTGAGGCAACTGATGCCAGCTCCTGTATGTGTGTGCCAGCAGGCCGGCCCCAGTGTGTGTGAGTGTGTGTGTGAGGCTGAGTATCAGAGACAGGAAAGGGAGAACCGGGTGTGAGATTAAAAAAAATGTGCATCCATTTACATCGACATCAGAGTGCATTGCGTTTGTGTATGTGTGGGTGTGTGTCCTTGAGTGTGTGTGCATTCCTAAGAGGACCCTGAATGGATCAAAGCTGCTGACACCCCAGGCAGTGTCCTCCTGAGGGAGCCAGCTGTCAGATCTGGGATCAGAGATCAGCGGCGTCTGTCCTCCCTCCTCTTCACTCTCTGTGGGGTCTGTCACAGCAAGTCAGGACTTAGCCAGAGGCACTGATCAACAATCAGATCAGGCTCCCCTCAAATAATAGCTGTGACGTCTATGGACAGTGAGGATGGCACCATCCTTAGAGACGAGGAGTCAGACGATGTGACTGGTTTTAACTAACCAGCAGCGAAGACAAATGATCTAAACTGGAAAATCCCAAACTTTAAAACTTTAAACCAAAGTCTTGCTCGGACCAGGACTCAAGGGTTGAAAGTAAATATTGGCAAGTTTTAATGGAACACTGTCTCCAAGTGAATTACATAAATACATTCATACTTTTCAACTCTACAAACAAACTTTAAACCAAGTTAGGTTAAGCAAACATTGTTAATAAATATATCTGGTAAGTCACAAAATGTTGATTCTGAGTGTATAAATGATTTCACTCAGAGCTCTTGGTTATGTAAAGTTTTTGATTCTTGGTGTAAAATGGTTCATTGTCACTTGAAACATGAGACATAAATGTTTATAATACTGAAATTTAATCAAACCTACGAGTCAGGATGAGAACTCGAGATTTTGAAGTCATAGTCTGGAACTTTCTACTTCATCAACCCCGACCCTCCACCTACAGTGTCTGTGTGATATAAAAATCTTTGTGTGGTTCTGTGTCTTGCTGTAACTGTGATCCATCCTATTAAGTACCTCCTCCAATTGAAATCACATTTTCTACTTTGTTAACACGTGTTTACATGATAAACGATATATCCTGAGTGACATACGCAGTCAACACCATGATTAAATATTTTCAACGTGGAACTGCACTTTAGAAATTAGTAAAACTGACTTAGACAGTCAGGGTTCACAAACTGTTCATACCTCTTGTTTCATCGTAACATCACTTTTTCACAGGATTTTGAAAACGAATGTTAGCAATGCATCATCAGGCAGTTGATACTTGTCTTTTTTGTACTTCTCTACTGTTAAGCTGTTGTATTATTGACTTGTCGATGACCCTGCACAATTCAATCCTCTGTCTTCAATGTTGGTTTCCTGTTCGAACATGGATCACTCCTATATCACCACTTGCTTCTGTTCAGAGTACAGTAAAGACAAAACAGAAGAAAGGCTGCGGTTTGTGTGTAGCAGAAAAACTAAATGAGGCAAACGTGTAGAATTACATCCATGAAGGTATTTTTCTTCATGGGCATAATCAATGCCAGTAGAGGACCTTTAAAAATTCTCACATTGTCTGACTGCTCGTGTTTCGTGACCTGTCAGACTTATTTTTAGAGAAGGTTGAGTGTTCCCAAATGTCGGGACTTAGCTCGGGGAGTGCAGCGTTATTACTACAGACAGCAACAATGGTAGAAAATACAAAAATAGGATCCAGAGTCTAGGAAGGAAAAAAATGACAGAATCATCCTTTAATACTCATGCATGTGGTGTTTCATGACCTTGACAACATGGCGTAAAGACTGTGAGAAACTCTGAGTTGGTAAATGTTCGACTCAGGAGGAACAGGTTTAGGCAGACAGACAATTGGCAAAGAAACTTTAATATAAGCAAGATGATGCATTACAAACCTGCCATAGAAAACACTGCACCAGTGATAAAATTACTCAGCCCAATTGCATTGGCTACTGGCTGTATGTGTGTGTGTGTGTGTGTGTGTGTGTGTGTGTGTGTGTGTGTGTGTGTGTGTGTGTGTGTGCAGTGGTGTCGGGCGTGTATGCACCCTTGACCGTGTGCCAGGGCTCTGGTCAGCCCACCCGTCGTAGATGTGCTGCCAACTCTCACTTGGCAGGCACTTTGAAACCCTTCTTTACCTCTGCAGCGGTCAACAGTGTCAACAGCTCCATCGGACCACATGTGTGCACGGAGCCGATGAATCAGTGTGACTGGAGCGTTTGTGTGTTCATGTGTCTTTCTAATGGGGTGTGATATGGGTTTGTGCAAACTGTGTGTGTGTGTGTGTGTGTGTGTGTGTGCAGCTGCTGCAGGTTTGAATTTAGACGTTTTTTGATGCCGAATTTCTTTCAGTTGAAAAGGTCGGATCACATAAATTACTTGAGACACTCCTTCCCGCTCACCTATCATACTATGCAGATAGTTTTTGTTTTACATGCAACAGATACCCATCTATGAGATTTTATCCTGCAGCAGTAAAATGAAAAAGCAATGGAATTTCATTTGTGGTGCTCGCAGCGTTACGAAAAATGTCGTTCAAAATGTCAACAGTAACATCTCTTCCCAGAAACGGTGTTCCCATTACTCTCAATAAGCCACAGATCCAACTGTGAGCAGTTTTCATTGGGAATATTTTTTCGGTAGAGAGTAATTCCAAAGAAAACTGTTCACAGCAAGGTTTGTGGATTATTCAGGGAAACTGGGCCATTCAGACATGTTGCCACTGAATCTTTTTTACTTCCTCAATCTCACTCATGCTGTGCGTCCAAGCATCATTCACACCAAGAGAACTTTATTTTTCTATGCGATAGGAAATCCCATATTTTCCAAGGACCAAAGACATCATTTTGAATTTTGGAGAAAAGTGTATGAAGTGATGACCATTACAGAAAATATTTCCATTTGACTGTTCACGTTGGGGGCGGCACGGTGCTTCACAGCAAGAGAGTCCCCGGTGCTGTCTGTGTGGAGTTCACTGTTCCCTGCCTCTCCTCCAATGAACGATCCCCATCCATACCCCATGTGACCCTCAAAGGATAAGCCATACAGATGTGCATGTTTCTAACACGCAGCAGACACCACAATGGAAGGAACAAAAACAATACAACTATCTCAGGATGAAAAGGCGGAGCCATACACGTAGAAGACATTGAAGATGTCAGTTGATTGGGTGTCAATGTGTTGAAAAAGAAAACATGCGATCTCTGAATCAGAATTACATCCTGAATGCTGCAGAGATTTCTGTGTTGTCGTGGACGTGTGTGAGCAGAGAAGCAGGAGAATCTCCTGCTGTGTTGTTCATGGTTTAAAGTCTGGATCCAATTCTGTGGACATTCTCCATGTCCAGTTTCTAAAGCCTAAAAGCCGTCTCTTTCTTTTTTTGTGCAAAACATCGAATAGATTGAATGTGTACAGTCTCATCAACCAATCAAAGAGCTTTACAGTGCAGGTCACATTCACCCATTTACACAAACACAACGCTTCTATACACAGCGCTTTCTCTATCACACATCATTCACACACTGGGGTACTTTAGCATTTATTAGCTTTCCCAAACTTTGGCATGCAGACTGGAGGAGCCAGGGTTTGAAACACCGACCGTCTGGTTAGTGGACAACCCACTCTATCCCGGGGGATTGTGGATTTCATCCCCCATCACTCCTATTGGAATATTCTCACTGTCAGTTCAGAGAGGAGGGATAATTAAAGGGGAGAGTCACCAATTTAGCAGATCAAAGTCTGTTCACTGGGGAGGAAAAATGAACATGTGAAAAAAACATGAAGTTTGTTACCAAAACAGAAGAACAAGAGGCGAGAAGATTAAAAAAACGTTTGAGTCACTCAAGGCCTGTTTTGTGTTTTTTGAATGAAATAAATTACAAATATTGTCTCTTTTGAATCTTTAATCACAAGGACCAATAATTACTAATAGATGCTTTCCTTGTATGTGGAGAAAGAAGCATTAAACAATAAAATTTTGCTCCATTTATGATGTAATTATGTCGTATTTTATTTCCACATGCTCTTTTTCTTATTTTATTGGTTTTGCTTATTGAATTAACTATGTATGTGTCCAGATTTGTGGCTTCACTTTGTAACTTTCAGAAATCCCAACCAGGATAGTGAAAAACAAACAACATGGCTGGATACAACTGAATCCGAGTGAAAAACGTGTTTAGTTTATTGGCTGAAGTGTTAATTCCTATTCACCGCTGGCCTTTTACACCTTACTCTAAAAGCTCCCCAGAGCTTTTACTTTAGGAAGTTGAAGCTTCCCTCCTCCACACACACACACACACACACAC